AAGCGCTGAACAAGCAAAGACAGGCTCTAAGGCCTCCTGGACAAGGTCACTAGACTAGGGGGTAGGGAAATGCCGCAGAAGAGTTTTCATGGACGTCAGCACAGTATTTGACAATATCTCTGATGCTTTCCTTGTAGAAGGTGATGGCAACATGGTGGTTGGATGGTTTCAGTAAGGGCCTTGAAAACTGATCAGAGGAGTTCATGTCTGATCCCATGGCAACAGGAAGGCGTTAGAGTTTGTTAAGCTGAGGTTTGTGGTGACCAGGCTCGAGCTCAAAGAAAATTACTTTGGTACTGGTACGGGGAGAAGGGTCTGTAGTAAGGACAAACAAGGTAGCGAGTTCAATTAGAAGATCATTGCAGTGACGTAGGGGACAAGTGACAAGCGCCTGGACCAGAGGTGTGCTAGAAAACATTTAACAACTGGCTCACTGAAAAGCAACACAAACTTTAAAAGTTTAATTTGCATTATTATTAACATTTTCTTAAGTCTAGTCCAATAGCAAAGCAATATACTAAGCCCTGATTTGTATCTGCTGATTTCCAAGGAGTAAATAAACACTCACACTGAAAATTTAATGATTGGCTTAGCCAGTAAAAGCTGGCTGTCCAGTATTAAAGTAGCAGTCATGTGGTTGGAGAAAAAAGACCAAGTGCTGGAATCATTGAGCATGTAGAAATAGCAAGATTTGGCAAATGACTGAATATATAGGGAATTAAAGATAACACCAAGTTCACAAACTTGGAAGACTTAGGATGGTTGGGCCTCCAACAGAAATGAGAAAGTTTGAAAGAGGAAAGGATTTGGGGAGAAAGATGATGAGTTCTATTTTGGACATTCTGAGTTTGGAACATTTATGGGCTAGCCAGTTTGAAATGTCCAATGGGCAATTAATAATGAAGGATTGAAGCTTAAGGGAGAGACGAGGACCAGACACAGCTCTGAGAGTTCTTAAACCAGTGATCATGATTAAACCCCTAAGAGTAGATGAGGTCACCATGAAAAAAATTATAAGAGGGAGGAGAGGGCCCAAGGAAGAGCTACTCACCATCAGCGGGGTGTGATATGAATGATTAACCAGCAAGGAGACTGAGTAGTCAGAAAGGCAGGAGAACCAGCAGAGAGGGGACCAGAGAGGAGTATCTACCACTCAGAGGGTAGACAAGTATCAAATGCATTAGTAGGTCCAGAAGGGTGAGGCCTGAAGATGCCATCAGATTTTGTAATTAAGAGATCATTAGGAACTGGGGAGAGAGTAGAGTCGGGCAAATGATGTCAGAAGTCAGATTGCAAAGGGTGGAGAAATGAGGAGAAGAAACAGAGGCAATGGTTTGGCTGGAAAAGGGAAGAGAAATAAAGGATGACAGCTTGAAGGGATGATAGGGCCTAGTGAAGACTTTCTACAGAGGAGGAGATGGGCATGTTTGGGAAAGGAACCAGTGAACAGGCAGAGGTTAGAGATCAGAGACACAAAGAATTTGCCCATTACAGTCAACTAGAGAAGACAGGACAAGATGAGATTAAGGGTAAATGGCATTTTCCATCTGGCTGTCTTCCTTTGGATTTCTCCATCATGGAGGTTCTCCATCATCCAGAAACTTTGTTGTCAAGAACCTCGTCATTCTAGAAGACTGCATCATCTTGGACTCATCCATCTTCAGTACCCTCAGGCCTCTCTGTCCCTCAGAACGCGAGGTGCCAAAAGCTCTTCACAAAGCCTCCATTTAAGGAGGGCACCCAGGTGTGCCATCTCTTCACTTCCCACCCACCTGGACTTCTTTGGCCCCAGGGAGCACCTTTCCCTCTGCCTTTTCAGTTTTCTTTCACGTGTATCCTTCCCCTTTCCAGTTATATTGTAAGCGCCTTGAGGGCAGGGGTGTCTTTCTCTTTCATACTTCTATCCCTGGCTCTTAGCACACTTTTTGACACATAGTTAAGTAGTTCATTGTCTGACTGGCACATACAGAAGGCTTAGCCTCAGCAAGGGACACTTCATTATCAGAGATAGGAGAAAGGAGGGAAGAAGGAGGGATGACATCAAGGGACTTTGAGATGAAAAGAAGGCGAAGAGTGGAAGCTCACAATGAATGACCTAAGTTTTCTTGGTAAAATGTTGAGATCTGCAGCTAAAAGAGGATAGGAAATGGTATGGGAGGCTTGAGGAAAGAAGAAAAATATTTGGGAAAGCTTTTGGAAAGAGGGAGAGACAGAGAGACAGAGAGAGAGACACAGAGAAAGACACAGAGAGGAGAGAGCCAGAGAGACATAGAGTCAGAAAGACAGAGATACAGAGAGATGGAGAGGAGAAAGAAAGAGTGAGACAGAGACAGAAACAGACAGACAGCGGAGAGAGACAGAGAGGGAAGGAGGGAAGAAGGGGGGGAGAGGCGGAGAGAGAGAGAGAGAGAGAGAGAGAGAGAGAGAGAGAGAGAGAGAGAGAGAGAGAGAGAGAGAGAGAGAGAATCACTTAAGGAGAAATAAAAGATTTCTTTGCCATAGTGAGGACCCAATTGAAGCTGGTTAACAACATGTTTAGGACCCAAATGACATTCCATTCAGCAGCACGAGTAAAAACAGAGGAGGCAGATGACAGGTTTGTCAAGGGACAGGACAAGGGGACAAGGGATTTGAGCAGGGGCTGGAGTAGGGGAAATTTGCTATGAGGTAAAGGCTGGAAAGGAAGGGAAGTCAGAGAAAAAGGAAAGAACTAGCTTGGGAAAGTACTGAGGGACAGAAAGGTCAGCAGTTTCAAGGGTTAAGAATGGATATAGGAGGAGTGAGATATAGGAAGAAGGGATGGCAGGAAGTTATCATATAGAGGAATGTCAAGAGCTTTTCTTTAGGGACGTAATGATGAGATCTAGTGTGTGACCACTAACCCCATTTTACAGATGAGAAAACAGCCCCTGTAGGTTGTGACCTGCCCAAGGTCACATAGGCAAGTGCCAGAGGAAGGATTTGAACCCAGGTGCACTGACTATAGGGTGAGTATTCTTTCTACTGGATCAGGTTGAGGTTAACTCCCAGGTTAACAACCAGGTGACTGGAAAAAATGGTGGTGCCCTGGAGAGAAACAGACATTCTGAAGAAGAGCTGCTTTCAGGAAAAACAATGAGTTCAAATTTGGACATAGGATCAGAACTAAACCTGAAAAGGAAACTTGAAGCCTTCAAACCAACCCCATCATCCAAAAGATGAAAAAACTTGGGCCCAAAGAGTGACTTGCTCAAGGTCACACGCGTTAAGTCTGAGACGTGTATTGTGGACTGAATTCAAAATGCCCAATAGTTGATTCAAGACTGGGGATCAGGAATGCATATAGAGACCAGGGCATCAGCGGAATAGAGTTGAGAACTGAACCTATGAAAGCTGATGAGATCTTCAAGAAATTGTTGGGATACAGCGCTGAGGTACGGGGGTACAGGTGAGGGCACAGGGAATGGACAGTGGTCCAGGAGAGGAGACTGAAGACAGGCTGCAGCAGAACCAAGAGTTTAATGTCACAAAAACCCAGAGCGCAGCAGGAACACGCAGCCAATAGCAACCAATACAGCTGATATTCGGTTATCTATGGGATGATGTTGAAGACAAATGTCCTTAGTATATAAATGGAATAGCTTTGCTCAGACTACAATGTTATCTGCTTTTACCTATTATTATTTACCTCTATTTTATATATAATATACATAATATACCTACACACTATATACCTATATTTACCTATAATTATTAGTTTACTGATTTTACTGTACAGTTAGAAGGAATCGAAAGAGGATGAAAATATTGCAGTTTATCATAGTATTTAATAGTTTGCCTTTTAACTGTACAGTTATAGGCACTATTTAATAGAGAAATTGTAAAATCAGTCTCAGTCCTCCTAGAGACGTACTTGTTTGAGGAATTTATGGTGAGGACTGTGACCAGGACATTCATGATACAACAAAAAAGCAATAGAAGCTCGTAGGGCATGCCCCGCTCTGTGAAAATTGAGCATCACACATCGTTTATGACCTCAAAATTCAAGAAATCTATGCATTCCAGGTGTGGTGCTTCAGGAAGTGTTTTGATAAATAGAGAGCATCCAGAGGCAGGCAACCAGAATTGCAACGGGCTGTGAGTCCATTCCAAATGAAAGCACAGAAGGAAATGCGGCTGTTTAGCCTGGAAAGAGAAGACTCAGGGTAGACATGATGGTTGCCTTTGAGGACCTGAAAGGCCCTGGTGTGGAAGAGGGATAAGTCTTCTTCGGCTTGGTGTCAGAAAGCAGGACAGAAGGACAAGCATGGGGAAGGAGTTCAAAAGGCGCCAATTTAAGCTTCATAACAGGAGAAGCTTTCTACTAATTAGAGCAATCTAAAGTGGAATCGTGGAGTTTTTAAGAGTTGGAAGACCCCCCCCCAATGACCGTTTAGTCCAACCCAATTCCCAACATACCACACCCGACAAATGGTCCTCAAGCTTTTGTTTAAAGACCTCCCCGGAGGAGGAGTGGGCTACTTCGAGGGGTGGTGGGCTCCCCCTCCAGGAGATACCCCAGGACAGGCTAGATAATCACAGGCTGGGTTTTTGTAATGAGGACTCCTTTTTGGGTTAAATGAGACAGCTACCAAAGTCCCTCCCAGCTCTGAATTCTATGGTTCTTTGGCCTAACTTTCTGGGATTTTAGAGTGTTTTCATTATTGAAGTAAACCATCTTCATTCCAAAATGTCGCACTGGTCTTACAAGAAAGGAGTTCACCCCACACAGCCGGTGTTCCAGCTGTTGTAGACTACGAAGTCGCCTTTATGATAAGAGACCAGTGACTTCAGAGGACACACAAGCACCTTTACAAATACACCACCTTTTCCATTGAGCCATGGAAGCTCCATAAAAAAGTTAATATTTTGCTTGTAGAGCAATAATACTATTTGCCTTTATTACAAATCAACAGGATTCATTTGAGAAATGATTCTCTCAAATGAAAGGACTAAAATAATCCCAACATTAAAACCAAAGCTAAGGCATTTAATGTTCTCACATCTTTATTAACGCATTTGTTTTACAATCCTGGCTCCATAATAGCTCTGGTACTTTTAAATCACAAATTTGCTCTTAGTGAAAGCGTACTACAACTTAAGGAAGATTTACCTCGTAGATAGCCTCGGTGACTGAACACCCGCACAAATGCACGCTGATTTACAGTCATGGCAGAGAGACCCGAGGATGGACAGCTCCCAAACAAGGATATTTACTGGCTTCCCCCCTCCAGGTTTTCAGCCTAGATTGTAATGCTACAGCAGCACAAGCAGAGTCTTAATAAAATTACACGGTTGAGACAGGAAACAAACATCGTTCCCAGGTAATAATTGCCTTTACCTGGCTTGACTGGTTGTAGTTAATATTAATAACATCAGCTTTAAAAAATGTGGGGAAAGCCAATACTTTGTAGTCATTTCTCATAAGAAGGTTCCATCTTAAGCTTAAGGAACAGCCATTATGAAATCTTACTGCTAAATAGTATCTTAACTCACAATTCTGCCAATATAATTGTACCTGTTACAGTGAGTAATTGCTATTCAGACTGAACAAGGAACAACTGGATGGACACTTTGGTTGTATTAAACACGTGGAGGTGAAGGCCATGTAGCATCAGGGGTTAACTGTCCAGTCTCGTCCATCAGCAAGACAAGTTTAAATCTTGGATGGTGTACAGTGGCCTCGGGCCCCAGGATCACAGATGGGCAAAACAAAACCCCCAGGCCACTCACAGTAAACGGGTCCAAGATCTACAGGACTATGGGGGATTCATTCGGAAAACATATACACAGATCATCCACCACCCACTCAGCCATATTAGCCAGGACTGCCAGACTTTCATTAGCAACAAAGATTCTTTCAATCAGTCGCTTTCAGAAATACACACATCTTTAAAAATGTATATTTTCAAATGCTCTTTTGTGAAAGAATGTAAAAAAAAATCACTAAAATATTTACAAAAATAGATCAGTTTCTGTGTTGTAGGTTTCTCTCATTTTTTTCTTTATTTTCAAAGAAGTGTTCTGAGTAACTACGAATACCCTAATGCAAAATGTCCTCAGAGCAAGACAAACTCTTCTGTGCTAAATCTTTTCAATTTTTTCTTTTCGTCTTCTGAGAAAAGGTCGTCTTCATTGGTTGGAGTAGAGGTGAAATCATAGTCTCTGGCATGACCCTTGACAAAAGTAAATAAAGGGTATTTCTCTCTGGAGGAGGCTTTCAGTACCTGCGAAAAAGACAGAGAACACACCCTTAATTGGGACAGAATCAAGCAATCAGGCCTCATCGTAGCACAGACGGGAAGGCTATGATGATGTCCCTTCCTGGGGTCACTGTAAGGAAATCCCTTTGTAAACGAGTGGTTCTTTCTACAACTTTGTTGGTAGTTCTCCTGCAATTCCTGGCATAAGTTAGTAGATTATAACGGACGCTCATCATCTTCTTTGTGTGTGCAAACAGTCATCTGAAGTCATCCCATACAGACTGCCTCCTATTGAGGCATGCGTCATTTGGACAGCAGATTTGTACTTCCTAGAATTTTTTTTAACTGTTCACAACTCAAGTGGTCTACGACAACAATCCACTTTGGAAAAATAGTCATTAACTGATTCAGCAGCTCCTTCCTTTCATGAGCATATGAGTAAGATTTGAATTAAGACTAACCGTGGAAGCCCAATTAACAACAGAAAACACACTCTCTACTGAAAGAAAGGTTTTGCATGGGTTCTCTGTATAGGAGAAGAGTACTGAAAGCAAACTGACTGTGCAAGTTCTGAGTATGATCGCTTCAATTGTAATTTGTTAAAGAAAAAAAAAAGACTACTTCAGCAGATAAAATTAAATCTCCTAGCATGTCAACATGCTATGTGGAAGATCCTTAACAAAGCTTTTAAATTTTGTTTACTACTCCTTTTAAACTTTAATTCCATATATGCATAGTGCAACATACATATGTAATCTATAATAATTTAAAAAAACCCAAAACCTTGGATGAGATCAATGAAATGCTAAGATCCCCAAATAGAAATTTAGGCAGTGTTATTTAGAAAAGCATCCAGTGTTATAAAATCAAGCTTGAAGCAAAAATTAGATTCTACACTTTTTATGATGCTTTTCTATTTTTCACTTTAGTCTAATCTATTATAATTACATCCTACCAAAAGAAAGAGGAAAGGGAAAGAAAGCAAATAATCAAAGAGAAAGACCAGAAATGTGCAGATTTGACAAATAAGAAATGGGGGACAGCGGATGAAAATGCTCATGACTAATCATGGATTCTTCCCCTCCTGGCCACAGATTCCAAGGATGTGGCTGGGATTCTGCCCAAAGTTACTGCCATTTTATGAACATTTCATGGCATTGATAAAAATCCAGAATCTAATGGGCAGGTGTCCATATCATTTGCTCAGAGACAGTCAGGGGAAAGCCAGCAACAATCATTGCTTATGGGACTTCTTTCAAGTTCAACAAAAGTCTTTGGCTCACGAGTATGATTTCTGAGACCAATGGGCTTGAGTTTAAAACCTGGGACCCTGGGCAAAGTGTGTAGAAAGAGTGCTTTTTACCTAGTGGTGCTTGGAAATTAAATCCCCTGCCCCATCTACCAAAAAGAGTGGGGGAGAGGAGGGGCAGGACTACACAATAGAGGGAAAGGTAACCTTCAGGTCAGAAAGACTGGTTTCAAGCCTTGTCTCTGACACACACTATGGGAAAATAGCCCTTAACTTCTTAGCATTGAGAATAATTCTCTTAGTCGATAAGTTACAGCCAAGGCGCACATCTGTACAAATGGAAGACATTTCCAAGCGGAGAGTTTTCCATGCCTAGAAATAAGAGGCCCCAACCTACCTGTCATTTATTTTTACAAACCAAACAGATCTAAGTTTACAATGAGGTCCACAAATCCATGAATAAGCTCTTAGGTGCCTGCTATGTGTCAGGCCCGGTACCAGGTGTAGGGGGACAGCAAAGATAAGAAAGAGGTCATTGAAAGAGCTCGCTCTCCTGTATTATGGACACAGGGTTGTGCTTTCCTCTAGCAAGAGGAGGTGGCCCAGAAATAGAAAAAACCGGAGAAATTACAATGCTCTTCTTTAGACACAGGATCACAGACTCAGAGCCGGAAAGGAACTCTAGGAAGGATCATCCCAAATCTGACAGAGGAAAAGGAGGATCAGAAAAGGGAAAGGTCTTTGTTCTAGGGTCACAAGTTCCTTTAGCCATGAGCAATGATTCTAATGGATTACTAATTCTTACCCAATGTCATTTCTTCATTATTTTGTTTTGTTTAAGACTAGCTCAAGAAGTCAACAAACATTCATAAAGCTCTAATTTTATGCCAGAGCTGTGCTAGTACTGTGAATATAAATACAAGCAGGAAGTCAGTCCCTGCCCTCAAGAAGCTTACATTCTAATTTGTGAAGACAACCCATAAAAAAAGTTCAGAGCAGGGGAAGGGAGAGAAGGCATCCTCCCAGGACTATGGAAAAGAAAGTCTAAGTCAGGAGTGAAGGCTGGAGAGCAATGAAGACAAGGCAGGCCTAGGCAGGTCCCTAAAATGGCAGTTCTAGGAGGAAGGGCCACAGGGCCTCCAGTAAGAGAAGTGCAGGGGCAAAGTGAGGTTCCAGGATGGGGACACTTCTGTGGCATAGCAGTGAACCAGGAACACAGCCTGGAACCTGCCCAGGCTAGAACTTCAGGGGTGACTCATGGGCCCTGTGCTCCCAAGGGCTCACCACATGAATGCTTAACTTGGGATGGACAGCCCACTGCAGCTAAGGCCCCCCAAGGTCAAGTGAAGTGCCAGCCTCAGCTTCCCAGGTGTGCCCCACCATCATCAGCTTCTTATCAGTGCATAGCCAAACCTACGCAGAAGCTGCCATGATGTATCACGTTCAACTCTGGAAGACAATGAAGAGATATGGGCGACATTCCTGGACTTCTCCCATGTTGCAATAATTGTGTCATTTGGTTATGTGATGCCCTAAAGTGACAATACAACTCAAATCAAATGCTGGCAAGGCCTCCCGCAGCCAGGCCCAGCAACAGTGCCCTGGACGTGGGAAACGCATAGTAAAGGTTTGTTTCCCTGAGTCAGGCTCATTCTACACTAGGGACAATTCGTTCTCTTGCCATTTTATTTTCTTAAAAGTGATTCAGAATCACAGAATCTCTGAGTTACCACAGGGGGACCTCACGTGCCATCTGGCCCAGACCGTAACTGAAGAAGAATGCACTCCTCCGTCAGACTGTAAGCTCTGTGAAGGCAGAGGCTATTTTCTGCTTTTCTCTGTATCCCCACCACCTGGCACACACCAGGCACTTAATAAATACTTGCTAACTTGCCTTGATTACAATACACCCTACTATAGGTCAAGCAGCCTTTTTGCTTGCAGATCTCTGGGAGGAGGACCTAGGCTACCTCCCAAGTCAGTCTCTTCTGCTTTCAGATAATTCCAATTATTAGGAAGTTTCTCCTTATACTGAGCTGAAATCTGCCTCCTGGCACCATCTGCCAAGTCCTTCTTATCTCTGCACTCAGGAAAGCAAGTTCAGATAACTGAAGACAACAATCCCAGCTACCGAAGCCTCTCCTTCAAGCTAAACAGCCTCTGTTCCTTTGCTACTCTTCATAGGAGCTGAAGCCATTCTGTCTCCAAGGTCACCAGTGTTCCCTTTACTGCCAAATCCAAGGCCTTTTCTCCAGCCTCATCCTCCTTGGCCTCTCTGAAGCCACGGACATGAATGGCCAGCCTCTCTTTCTGGATCCTTTCTCCTCCTGGGGCCTTTAGCCCCCTTCCCCTTGTGTTTTCATTTCTTCTAATGGGACCAAATCTTCATTCCCTTTGTAGGTTCCTCCCACCTTCGCTGCAAAGGTGCCACCCAGGCGCAGGCCTGCACCTTGCTCATCTCCTCTGCGCTCCTTGTTGGAATGATCTCATCAGCTCCCAAGAATCACTCTCCTCCCAAGCTACACAGCCAACCCTGGCCACTCTGCTAGGCTCTCATCAATCTCAAATTGCCTCGACATCACCTCTCAGATACTTCTTACACACTTCCAACTCGAACTGTTCAGGAGAAAACTCATTAACTTTCCATCAAGCCACTATTCTTCCCCACTTCCTTATTTCTCTTTAAGGGGACAATCTCTCTTCCAGCCACCAGGTTGGCAACCCAGGAGTCACCTGGTATTATTTCCTCTCCCTCACTCCCCATTTCAAACCCATTGCAAGTCTTAGTTTTTCAGTTCATCTCCTCGAGATCTTTTGGACCTCTCCCTTCTCTCTCCACCACCCTATAACCACCCATGTTGGGTCCTTATCACCACTCGTGTAGACCATTAGGATGGCCTCCTGGCTGGTGCCCCTGCCCCATCTTCCCCTTCCCGGATCCATCTTCCACACAAACAGACGGACCAGGCGACTCCTCCGCACAGGAGGCTTCATGGCTCCCCACTGCCTTCAGGAGCAAACACAGACTCCTCCGTTTGGTACTTGGAAGTGCCTTAGCCCATCACTCAAGGCTAACTGCACACTACTCCTCCTCACACAACCTACTTGCTGTTGCACATACACAACATTTCCCTTCCTACACGTGTGGCTCTGCACAAGGCTTCCCCTTCTGTGGGCGATCACCCTCACTGTCTTGTCTCCTGCTTCCATACGAGGCTCATCTAAGGGCCGCCTCCTTCTGGGGGACAGATGTTCCTGCTTTCCTCAGGTGGTGGCACCCCCATAAATCACTGTGTATTTTGTATGCAGCCTGCAGTCAGTCCTCTGTGAACACGTCATATTCTTCTAGGAAAGTGTAAACTCCCTGAGGGCAGGCACGTCTAAGGTTTGCATTTGTATTCCAAACACCTGTGTTCATGGCACACAGGCGGTGCTTAATAAATGCTTGTTAATGTGAGCAGCACAGCATCTCCACAGTCCCACAAGGTTTGCAGTACTCTCAGCTGAATCCCACAGAAACCCTACAAGGAGAGGGTTACTATTACCCTATTTTATAAATGAGAAATCTAAGTCTGTCCTTGGGGCCACACAGCAAATAAGGATGGAGGCGGTCTTGGATTTGGGTGTTTCTGCCTCCGAGTCCAGCACTGTGCAGAGGGCCCTCTCCCCTGGAGACTCTCACTCGGTCCTCTCTAGAATGTCCTTCCAGAACTCCCCATGACACTTTAGAAGTGGTCTGAGCAGGACAGAGGCTGGGAGGCTGTGCCCCCTCCTG